AGTAGCAGGGGATTGTGGGAAGAGCAAGCATCATCAGATGCAGTGTAACTATTGCCGCTGATCAGCGCTACCTATAAAACAGTACAACAGGAAATATACAGCCTAGTATTATTTTTATTATTAGAGTCATTCTGCACACTATATAGATGATTGATACTTTTAATGAAATATTGATGGAGCTGACGACTTTACAAAGATTAATTCACGGCAGATATAAACATTTCCCGTCTTTGGCTCGTGTGGATAACGGCTATATGTTTTTCCTCATTTCATTCTGCACATAAATTATCTATTAATTATCGCCATTCCATCTCTGACTGCCGCATAGGTGACAAATTGCTGCTACAATGTCACCACAAGTGTCACAACATGATGCGAAGATGCTAAGGATGTGCAAAAGTTGGAAAGTTCCCGATAAAAAAAAAAAAAAAAAAACTTTCCAACTAGGAGGAAACAACGTGATAGAACCTGAAATCTCCACTGGCTCAATCCTATGTCACCTGAGAAAAGAAACAGATCACAGTGGTGAGGAGCGGAGTGTTAAAAAGATGCATTCCGATATAAACAAATACACTATATTGCCAAAAGTATTGGTCGGTCGGCCGGCCCTTTACACGCACATGAACTTTAATGGCATCCAAGTCTTAGTCCGTAGAATTCAATATTGAGTTGCCCGCCCTTTGCAGCTATAACAGCTTCAACTTTTCTGGGAAGGCCGTCTACAAGGTTTAGGAGGGTGTCTATGGGAAGGTTTGACCATTCTTCCAGAAGTGCATTTGTGAGGTCAGGCACTGATGTCGGACGAGAAGGCCTGGCTCACAGTCATGTTGGAACAGGAAGGGGCCATCCCCAAACTGTTCCCACAAAGTTGGGAGCATGAAATTGTCCAAAATGTCTTGGTATGCTGACGCCTTAAGAGTTCCCTACCACTTGGTGGCTGAGTTGCTGTTGTTCCCAGTTGCTTCCACTTTGTTATAATACCACTAACAGTTGACCATGGAATATTGAGTAGCAAGGAAATTATTGCACAGGTGGCAACCTATCATGGTACCGCGCTTGAATTCACTGAGCTCCTGAGCGACCCATTCTTTCACAAATGTTTGTAGAAGCAGTCTGCATGCCTAGGTGCTTGATTTTACACACCTGTGGCCATGGAGGTGATTGGAAGACCTGGATCCAATGATTTGGAGAGGTGTCCCAATATTTTTGGCAATATAGTGTATGTCTAAATATATTCATCAGGTTTATTCTTTTTTTAATCTTGGTATTTAATTATTTATTTATTTATTTTGGGTATTTCTTCCAGATCTGTGCAGTAATCCAGTGTGAGACTTTACCTCTTTGCAGGAGCTTCCTGTAGACAAAATTAGTTCCTGCACTACCACTAAAATGCAGAGCAACTGGATCACATGGTACCACGTGATCTGGTGCAGGCAAACACTGCATTTATAAACTGTGTTTGGAGTGTCATTAGAATTGCACTGACACCTACTGCAGAGCACAAACACAATGCATTTTGAATGCAATGTGGGAAATGTGCATGGAACACAGTTTAGAGCACTACATTCTGGTGTTAAATGGCCTGTAATAAAGACCAGTCACTGATGCTCTCTCTCCATGTGCAGGGTCACGGGTCTTGTATCCACCCCCTTCTGTAGCTTTCTGCCGGCAGCCTGTAGTGGATGGGGTCTGCTGGGTCCCTCCCACTGTTCTGCTCTCCGCACAGGCTAAGTACAGCACAGTGATGATGTCACTGCTGCTTTTACAGGGTCATCTCTGGGTTTTTAAAGGCATTTGGTGCACACAAAGTGGCTTATATTCTTTGTGGCCATTAAGGAATAAATTTAAATAAATGATTGTGTGTTTGTGTGTTCAGCTTTAATTTAATATGTGAAGAATTGATGGCTAAGGATCATCATCCTAAACTGACAAATTGTTAAATTCACACTGAACACACATTCTGAGGGGTGGGGCATTCTCTGATCACTGACTATTAGCAGAAGTGCAATGTCTGGTTAATGTCTAGCCACTGCATACTAAAAGCTGACAGTGGGAAAACCTCCAATTGCAGCGGGATAAGAAAAGAGTTAAAAAGATGACAAGATGGCATCTGGAGATCACATTAATGAATTTCACATAATGGAAACAAGTTTCCAACTAACAATTTAAAATCTGGAAAAAAAAAAGATTTTAAAATAATCATCTCCAACTATATCAGCGGAATTATTTAGGATAATTTATGTGAACACAAGAGGGAGGTGCATTTAGGTAATTTTGTGTAGAAAATAATATTTATTCCACACAATTTAAGATATTTATTCTATGGCGCTTTGTTTTAGTGAAGAGAAAATAATTATAACCGGGAATCATCCTATTTCAGAAGTAATTAATGGAGTTGTGAGACGACAGCAGTGCATCGTGCAGGCGGTGGCACAGCATATACGGCAGTGTGTCAGGTGTCTGCACATGAGTTGTTGGTGACCTCTTCCCCACGTTCTCCTATTCCCGGGTCAGACACGAGACGTTAATGTAGCAGCTCCAGCTGTTCCGGCGATAAAAACCTGCAGTGCACAAACTTTCTTTATGGTGCAGCTCGTAAAATGCTGAGAAATTGCTGAAGCGGTAACCTGCTCTCTTTTACTAGCGGCTGTAAATCTGTCTTCTACAGGCGGAATCCTAGAAGGCCGCACTAACCTTTTCCCTGCTCTGCTTCTGCACCCCAACCAGCCCAGGGTTCCTCTTTTTTCTCCTGCACAGCCCCCTATTGTATTGTGCTACCAATCCAATTCATAGTCTTCTTACTTCTCCTAAAAGATATCAGGGCCTATCCCCCTTCTTTTCCTAAAGAGATTTCCTCACATTTTACCATCACCCAATTAAACCCACCCCCCTCTTTATCTTACAACAGCCCAAATTATACCATCACCCAATCTGACCCATCCCCTCTTTGTCCTAAAGGAAACCTCACAAAATATACCATTACTAATGTGGCTCTGCTGTCTCCTTATCCTATAGGAACCTCCATATTATACCATCACCCAATCTGGTCCCATCCCTCTTTTCTGTACAAAGACTCACCAAATTATACCAATCACCCAATGTTGTCCAGCCCCCTCCTTATCTTACAGAGAGTCCTCATATGATATCATCACCAAATCTGACCCAGCTATTCCTTAACCTACAAAAGATCCCAAAAGATACTATGGCCCACACTAGCGAAGCTCATTTTTATCCTACAGAACTCCCAAATTATACCATCACCCAATTTGTCCCAGCCCCTCTTTATTTTACAAATTCTACAACCACCCATCTAACTCAACCCCTCAATATACTACAGAGACCCCAAAACTTATATCATCATCCAATCTAGTCCCTCCTTATTCTTTAGAGACCCAAAATTATAATATCAATTTATCTGGCCCAGCTCCTTCCTTATTCTTCAGAGACTCACAAATGATACCACCACCCATTACATCCAAGCCCATCTTTATCCTACAAAAACCACCCAGAGAACCCTCAATTTACAGAATCACCTAATTCAGTCAATTCCCACCTTATTATACAGACCTCCCAAACTATACTACTCAGTCCAGTTTGGCCCCTCCTTATTTTCCAGAGGCATCCAAACTGTGATTCCACAAGCTCCAGAACTCACTTCTACCAACATGATGCCCTCTTGGGTGCAGATCTGCTACAATATGTGTTTTTCTTGGATTGTGGAAGAAGAACATCCAGTAGGGGACAAAGCAGCAGTTAAAAAGGGCAAAGTGTAACAAACGAAAAATCAATTCTCCTTCCAATGTTAAGTCTTAATTCACATAAAAGCAGCAATCCCCATATAGAAAAATGCAGCAAAAGGCATTTTTAGGCTTTAGGTTTTATGAATTTCTCTACTTTAGCTTCTGCATTTTCACATAAAATAAACTGATCACAAATGCAAAGCATGAATAGGCCTCTGCAGGCTAGCATTGATGTTATATCTCTCTGCAGGGCATCGCCTACATTCTCTGCAGACCACCCCTTTGGTTTGTAAAGTCAGACAACGGATAGATACGGTAGTCCTCCCTCTTGCTACGAGTTCTGCACAATGCCGATGGTGTAAATATTTCATCCTGATATTGCTTGTAATGTTTGTGGCATCTGATCTGGACATGAGGAACAAGGAGACCAATTTGCAGGATTTTCTCCTCATTGTGCTGCCCATTAAACTTTTGATGGAAATGCAGGCATTAAAAAATACATAGAGCAGCATCACCTCGTATGTTTCCCTTAAATAATTAAGTCCAGAGTCTCCGACTTTTATCAGATTATGCTCAATGCAAGTTTACAAGTTTAGGTACCAGCTGTTCATTACCCAGCAGCCACAAGATGGGCCACACTCCGACAGGTAAGAAAAATGAGCCACACAATGCAATCATGTATGTTTAGCTGTAAACAGAGGGCTGATAATACACTATAGCAGCCTGGGGAATACGGCTTTGGTTTCAGGCTTCAGGGAATTGTGCCGCACACACTAAACAGTGGATAAAATTAGCACACACACAACTGGCTGCTGGGCTGTCAGAGCTGTCAATCATTTCCGCTAAGTACATTTCCAGGCTGAGCAGAAAGCACTATGGCGTAAACAAGAGTCCTACAATGTTAGGTATACAGAGCTGGAATACAACGTAGAGATCCAACTAAAGGAAATACTTACCCTTGTTATCAGAAGGGCATTAACGTCAAAACTTGTAGTAGACAGTCTCTTAAAGCAGTCCTAGCATCATATATTTACAGGGGGCTTCAAATTTCATGTCCTGAGCTACTAGCCAGGCCTTAGAGTTACTCGCCACCAACAAACACACACAAACAGAGACACCTGTACACACACACACACAGACATGTACATACACACACTGAAACATGTACACACACGCAAAGAGACACATGTACACATGCACACACATACAGACACATGTATACACACACAGGCACATACAGAAACGCATACACACAGATACATGTACATACACATAAATACACATGCACAGACACATGTACATATATACACAGACACATGTACATACAAACAGACACATGTACACACAGATACATGTACATACACACAAACACACACACAGACACATGTACACACACACAAGTACATACACGCAGACACATGTACAGATACACACATGTACATACACACAGACACATGTACAATTGTACATGCATACACAGACACACACAAATACACACACATGTACACACGCACTCACACGCGCACACACACACCCATAAAAAGTTGCAGTACTTCGTTGTTCACTCACAGAGCCGGGTACTGCACTCTAGGAGGAGGCAGACCGCACAGCACACACTCCTTGCTTTGATTTCACTGTGCTCAGCTATTGAGCAGTCTGACGGCTCCCAGTGCCAATGACAGATTCGGCCTGAGCTCCAAGCCTGCTCAGCAAGACGGCCCTGGGGGACACACTCGCCCCAACCATAATTTCCACTCGCCATCGGCAAGCAGGCGAGTGGAAATTTCAAACCCTGTTTACAGTATATATATTTTCAGGTTATAGTGAACCTGTGGCCAGGCTAATGGGCACTGAGGTATTTTTACATATTCTTAAGAAGTAGAAAGGCTATAATACAAGCTCCCACTGACCTCTGAAACTGTAGGCAGTGTGGAGAAATGTATCCTCACACAATAGAGGAAATAAAATCACAGCTCACCTCCCCTTATTTCCTCTCCCTTCAGGCACTTGACAGCCTAACAGTCTTCTAACTAAAACAAACAGCAGGTGCTTTGAGCTGTTTGGAAGCAGACTATAACCCAAAATTAGTCTTGCTGCTGTGATCATTGAGGATGATTTAACCCACAGTACCTTCAACTACAGGCTAGTAAAGACTTGTTTACTGTTACTTTTAAGTACTTTTACTGCTTGCTAAGAATATGTAAATACCTCAAGATCCATAACCTGGTTACAGGTTAATTTTAAAGCTGAACTCCAGACAGTTTGCATTCGTTACCAAGTGCATTCGGAGAGTCAGATACATCCTTCCAGACCTTTCACGTGGTGGCACTCCTACACCTTGACATATTCAGCATAATGAGAAGACACACATTATGCAGTGCTGTAATCATTGGCGCATCTTTTTTTTTTTAATACAAGCAGTGTAAGTACAAGAATGTGATCTGGCATCAACCTTCTGCAATCCCCGTACATCAGAGCTGGAGTGTGAGAAGAAGAAGCTGCACAAGGAGATAATCAGTTCATGCGCTGACAAGAAGCATGCTGATATTGGAAGAGAACAGAGTGACAGAGAGAAGAGCACATCACTGTGCTGCTTTGTTTTTCACTGGCCATTTACATACTGTGGCACAAGGTGGGCTCAGAGGCTCAGAGGAAGTGTGTTACATGATGCTGACCATCATCCTGAGGGCATCTAGTAGCAGAAAAAAGTATTGCGCTAGAAATCTTGAGATTGAAGCTGAATATAGCAGTAAAAGCTGGTCTTATATAATGTTTTACTGAGCTATTTACATTTATCTTTATGTCCAGGGTCCATCCAAGGTCATCATCTACTTCCTGGACCGAGATGCTGGCAGAGATGACACAATCATGCAAATCCTGGAGCCTGTGCACATCTTGGCTGTGTTCACAAATGTATAGCATAAATCAGCCCCGTCTGCAGCTTCTAACTTTGTGACTTGCTTTAAGGTTACAATGTTGTATTCTGACCACGGGGGGGGGGGGGGGGGGGGGGGGGGGGGGGGGGGGGGGGGGGGGGGGGGGGGGGGGGGGGGGGGGGGGGGGGCAGGAGGGGGGCAACTGAAGAAAAATACTTCCTCCTGTCTGCAGCAGACTAATGACAACATCTCAGCCCGGGCAAAGTCACTGACTGAAGCACAAGGATGACAATATAATGATAAAAATTGGAATTTGTCTAAAAAAAAAATATCCTGTTGCTGTATTTTGTGAAATGTCAGTAATATATCTACTGACAGGTCCACTTCAACCATTTCGCTGGCACCCACATTTGCCACATGTTGGCAGGTGTGTGTGTGTGTGTGTGTGTGTGTGTGTGTAAACACACCTCCAGCTGCTATAGCAGCCAGTAATGTGTGTAAATCTGACTGTTGGCTGTCAGATGGAAGGATGTTAGATGCTGTACAGCTGCCTTCTACTCACCCTGGAAACAGTCAATCATCCTCCCCAACTGTACACCAGCCATGATTCCTGTTCTCTGCACACCCATTGCAGGTGAAATGTCCATTCATGATCTCCCCTTTCTACTAAGAACATTTCTAGGTCCTGCTGTCACTTTCCCTAGGCAGTGTGGTGAAGGCGATAGTGGAATGTGATCTGTGCTAGCTATAATAGAGGGCAAGTGAGACATCAGAGATCTTAAAAAACCCTTGATGCTTTCTTAAAGGGAATCTGTCACCTAAAAAAAGACTCATAGGGGACTTTTTGTCCCCATATGATGAAAAATATAGTTCAGTGAACCAAAAACAAGTGTGAAAAGTTACTCCCAAGCATTTAAACCCCCCAAAAAAATAATTTTTGAGCCTCCACCCCTACATACAAATGTAAGCACATCAGGATCATATATATGCAGATGTGTACAATACAATAAGTGACAGGTCCAATAGGGAAAAGAAAGCCTAAAAGTCGCACATCACAGCAAACCCTGTGAGGAGGCGTATGACAGCCTCAGCCCGGGCTACAACTAGGCCACGCCCCCAACACCCCTGGAGCTTAGTCATGGGGATAGAGATCCCATGTATAGAGAGGTATAAATACATGCATCATTGTCTGCCATTCAATTAAATTAAAGAAAATGTGTATCAGGTGAATGTTTGCCTTGTACTGGGATAACAGAGCAAGAAGAGTAATACTAATGCAAAGAATAATGTTAAAAAAACAAAAAAAAACAGAACTGAAAGACCAATGGCGGCAAACGGATATCAGAGGATGGAGCCCGAAAAAAGGAAAATAAAAACTGGGGTCCCAATTGTTGAAAGGATTGATCACCCTGCTTGTGATGGAGATAGAATAAACCCCATTAGCTTTTTCTTTCTTTCTTTTTTTTTTTACAGACTAGCATGGAATGTCTTAGATATTTTTTTCTCTATAGTTGCTTTTAAATTGTTCTACCTGTAGACTTTGTTTTCACCCTTATGTGAAATTATTATGCATGTAAGTTACACATCTCATCATATCAGAGTGTGATTTTATAGGGTGAAGTTTAACCTCAGATTTGTTGCTTTTAATATGGTGGTCAATAAAGATGAATGTTTCTAGTTTTTTCAGACCCCTTATTCCATGCTTTAGGCAATGTTTTCTCAGTTTTGGCTTTTGAGCTGCTTTTTGTCTTGTTTTTCTTCCTTTTTAACGCACTTTTTTATTTTTCATTTTTTTCGGCTGCCACTATTGGTCTTTCAATACTGGTGTATTTTGTACATAATCCTTTGCATTTACAGTATATTATTCTTCTTGCTCTGTTATCCCCACAACAAGGTAAACATTCTCCTGTTACAAATTTTGTTTAATTTATCCTGGGTTCACACTAATGCGGAGCGAAACACTGCATGTAATTTGCACAGGAATCACAACACATTCTTGTGGGAATTACATGCAATCTCTGTGCAGTGTGATTTGAGCCATACATTTTGTATGGCTCAAATAGCAAAAAAAACCTTTTTTTACCCAGACGTGAATTGCATCGCATGGGTGTTCTCACCAATGTGATGTAATTTCTGGCAATCGCACCGTGTTTTGCAATCTGTTTCGGGGTGTCATTAATTTAACCGTTTCAATACCGTGCAATTTTACACCTTCCTGCCCAGGCCCATTTTTCAGGTTTCAGCGCTCTCACATTTTGAATGACAATTGCGCGGTCATACGACATTGTACCCAAACTAAAATTTTATCATTTTCTTCACACAACTAGAGCTTTCTTTTGGTGGTATTTAATCACCGCTGGGGTTTTTATTTTTTGCTAAATTAACAAAAAAAGACCAAAAAGTTTGAAAAAAAAAACACATTTTTCTTTGTTTCTGTTATAAAAGTTTACAAATAAATAATTGTTCTTCATAAATTTAGGCCGAGATGTATTCTGCTACATGTCTTTGGTGAAAATAACCCAAATTAGGATGTATTTTTTAGTTTGTAGAGTTCACAAACTATGGTATAGATCTGAATATTGATCAATCCTGAAGTACTGACGGCCAGTCTAATTTCTTGAGGTCCAAGAATGTCAGAATAGTACAGATATCCCCCGAATGACCCCTTTTTGCAGAGTAGACAGTCCGACGTACTTCATAAGAGGCATGGCGAGTTTTTTGAAGTTGTATTTTTTTGTCATAATTTTTTCGGAAAATGAAAAAATTAAAAAAATTATTTTCACTATTTTTTTTTTTTTTTACATACTGTCACCAGTGCAGTACAGCATCATCATATAACTGGCATGGTGGTGAACAGGGACACTGACTGGTGACAGTATGAAAAAAAAAATATATATATATTTTTTTTTTTTATTTATTTTTTATTATATTTAATTTTTTATTACATTTTTTTTATTTTTTTTAAGATTTTTTTTTTCATATTTTACTATGACCAAAGTAGTACAATGTTACCATAGTAACAGTGTACTACTTTGGGGAAGTGATCAGTATTTTTTTTTTTTTTTTTTTTTTTTTACACAATTTGCTAATAGCAAAGAAATGGCTTTGCTATAAGCAAGCATTTGCCTGAATGAAATCGATTCATTCAGCTTTTTTTTTTTTTTTTTTTTTTTTTTTTTTTTTGTGCTTAGCTGTGATTTGGTCACAGCTAATCACATGACATGTGCATGTGATTAGCTGTGACCATTCACAGCTAGGCACTAGTATACAATGGATGGCATCATGAATGAAGCCATCCATTGTATACAACTGTCATGTGACCTGCTGTGATTGGTCACAGCAGGTCACATGGTACCAGCAACGGGAGCCGGTACTCGGATCTGTCATCGGCCGTGTCCCAGGTGCACGGCCGGTGACAGATCGCACTGCTGCGCCGCTCTGCATTAGCGCAAACGGCGCATGTGCGGGAGCACGCCAAATGGCGTGCACCCGGAGTGGAGAAGCACATCTAAAGCCGCCAAACGGCCATTGGCCGGGCGGCTAATGGTTAACATTGACACCCCACACCAAATCGCATGAACACAATGCAACTGCAATGCAGTGCGGTAAATGCACAGGATTCACAGCATTTCCCGCACTGCATTAGTGTAAACACAGGCACTGAAAAACATAAAAACCCTAACTAGGAAAAACTAATGGGGCTTTAAGAGGCACCACACCCAAAAAGAAGATCGATACTCAAAATATCAAAAGTTAAAGCTTTATTGAACAATGTTAAAACCATAGTTGTGGTAAGGGTTTTGAGCATTCACATAGCTCATATTAAAAGACATGTATAGCGTGTGTACAATAACAGGCTTATTACATAACATTGCAGAGAATATCCCTGGATGACATGATTAGCATAGTTGATATAATTTC